ATTAAGAATCTGGAGTCAGTATTCAGAGCTGAGACTCAAACCCAGGCACTGATGCAGACACTTAATTGATAAGCCAAATCACTTCCTCACTTAAGCTTAAGTACGACCAAGTTTTCCTTGAACCAGGGCCTATGGGAAACAAAACAAAGAACTCTCTGTTGACCTCAGTAGTTGTTTATGTCAGCATTATCCAGTAAATTTAGAGTTCTTAGGAATCATCACTCCTCATTTAGTAGGAAACTTATAAATGCAAAATCGATTCTCTCAGAGGAAGACTGAGGGACAAAGGAGTCTTGAGGCTTGGTTAGACTGTCTAATAGCCAGGGCCAGTTCTGGGGATAGAAAACCACTGACCCTCTTTCTATTGAGAACAGGCAACTTTGAATTTTCCTATGGTCAGGCCAGAGTATGAAGGAGACAACGTCACATGATCTAGATGCAGGAATATTGAGTTGATAAGAGTTAAGTGTGAAAACGGAGTGCAAACCCTGACAGGTGGAACGTTGAGGGCTCAAGGCTACAGAGTTATACACAGGCTGCGCTGTGTCCCTTCCAACTCTTTTTTTAGTGTTGAATTTTTTAATAGCACTTATAACATTAATCATGACTTTAGCTTATCTTTAAATATTAAGATTAAAAACTTTTTTTATATTAATGCAGGCTAACTCATTGACTGCTGAGCCTAACGTTTAACACCATTTGACAATCTTTTTGCCAAATTCTTATGTTGAATTTCAACCTCAATGTAAATACTGTCTCCAAAAGGATACTCAAGCTAAAATAAGGTCATTAGGGGAGGTGATAATCCAATATGAGTAGCTTATATAAAAAGGAAATAAAGGGTGTGGCTGCTGAGCCTACTGATTAAGATACCCACAGGCCACACTAATGTAACATGATTCATTTGATGCCTGATCGGCTTTTCATGAGTGTAGATTTTGTATGGCGGCAGTCACCTCTCAAGTAATTGGGTTCTTGTTGCCCATGGAAGATCTGAGTTAGTTTCCTGGCTTCTGGCTTTGGTTCAGTACAGTCCTGGCTACTGTGGGTGGTAGGGAATGAACCAATGGAGAGAATCCTTCCCTACTTTGTGTGTGCATGTACGCATCTGTCTGTACGATAAATCACTGAATATCTAAGGAGGTTTTAAAAGGGGCAAAAGGGACGCAGAGGTCCACCTGGAGGGAAGACGATGTGAAGATGGGAAGAAGGTGGCCAAGTCCAGGAGAGCCCTCACAAGAAACCACCTTTGATCTTGGAATTCTAGGCTCGTGAACTCTGAGGCAGTAATTCTCTTGTGTCCAGGCTATTCCTTTGTTGTGTTTTATTGCACCAGCTTTGGGAAACTAAGGCAGAGTTTTATGTTTCATGTGTCATCACACAGCCTTCCTGAATGCTGGCATTCTCTGGGGGCAGAAATTGTGTCCCTAATTCGGAGAATTTAGAATTCCCTCCCATGTGTACACATACATTTGGGGAGTGAATTAGCAGATTCAAGATCTCTCACTGTTCCCATGCCTCTCAAATAAAAAGTTAAAAGAAATAAAAAGTGAAAAGAATTTAAAAACCATAGCTGAGGGCTTTGGGTAATTGTGTACATACACAGGTTTATTTATATATGGTGACACAAAATGGATGGATGGCGGGTTTTGAATGAGGTAAGCTAAATTCTGACCATAACTGCTCTTGGGTCATGGAATCATGGGAGGCATGCTGTATGATTTTTTGTTTTGCTAATATACAATTTCTAAAATTTTTATGACAGATTACAATATTTTTATGAAGGCTTAATGAGTTAAGATCTTCGCTATCATCAGTGTCATTATTTTATCCACTTCTATCAATAATTTGATTGATAGAATTATTGCCAATGTTTGCGAGGTATACTAAACATTTTCTGACTTATACTGTGTTATTATACTTTCTTTCTTTCATGCTGTTTGCCTTAACCAAGTTTGGATGTGAAAAGCCCTTGACACTAGGATCTTGAAGCTTTGATAGCTCTTTTCCTCACATCCTACTGTGTCCAGAGAGTGTGGGTGGTCAGTTGCTTCATTGAACTGTAATGTCAGTTCTGATGGAATATTCACTGGCATGGTTGATGCCATTGCAGTTGGCATCTGCATTGATCAAGATTCTCCAGAGAAACAGAGCCAGTGTGTGTGTGTGTGTGTGTGTGTGTGTGTGTGTGTGTGAAGAGATTTGTTATAGAAATTGGCTCCTGCGAAAGTGAGTATGGAGACTTACAAGGGCAAAGACTTGCAGTTGGCAAGTTTGAGAGCCAGGCTAGCTGCTGTGTGGCTTCAGCCTGAATCTAGGCTAGCCACCAGGGGAAGTTCCAGTCTTAAATCCAGAAGACTTGGAAGCCCAGAGGACTGCAGACATGGCGGGGAGGGGCAGAGATGGGCTGGACCTCAGGGCCAACAATGGGCAATAGTTAATGATGGCCTTGGCCTATGACTTCCTTACAGAGATCCATCATCAAGAAGTAAAGGAGGATGCATCTTCTGCCTCTGCAGGAAACCGAGAGCCAGGGGCCAAGTGGGGACTCACTTCAAGGATATAAATGGGGACATGGGCAATAGTGATAGGAGGGACCAACTAGTATGATGTCCAAAGGGGATGTGTGAACATGTCCCCAAAATACAGCACAGCGGCTTTTTCTTGGCTGCAGTCACTCAGCCTCCCCCTGTGCACAGGTTGCCTTTGAAAAATCCTACCCTGCAAGCCCAGAGCGTATTCACTCCAGCTGGCTCCTGCCTGAGTTAGAATGCTGTCTCTGTATGTGGAGAACTGTATGACATCAGACAAGTTAGTGAAACTTACATGCACCTGTTTCTTTACCTGTAAAATGCGACGGTTAGATGACAGTGATCTCATAGAGATAATAAAGCTTGTGTAGCATAATATTTGCAAATCTACAGACAAGTGCATTTCTTAGCTTCCCCAAATAGATGCCACTTTATTTCCTACCTCTGATGATTGGAACAAGAGAAACAGAACAATAGATGCTCTTTGCCTGTCCTTTTCCATTAGGTCCCCAGGACATTGAGAGCTGCAGGTATCATGGCAAAGGAATCGTGGTCAGGTGTTTTTCTGGGCAAAGCCATTTGGAGCCACATGGAGGCCTTACTGCACAACTCAGATGCTTTAGGCCAGACATCCTAGGTCCCATCTGCTTCCCCATAGCATCTGTAAGGGACATGGTCATCCAAAATATTGTGCTACTAAAACAGCCTGGGAAGTAGAGCCACAGCACAGCAGAGGGCCATGAACGGTCACCCTGGTGTCTATGTCCAAAGGGAGTAAGGATCCCACGTATTGCACACAGTGGCTCATAAAACACTCACAGAGGACATCACTATACTGAAAAGATGGGAAGGCCTGGAGGCGGTTTTCAGCCTGTGGTTAAGATGTTCACATCTTCTACCTGGTGCATGGGTCCTGGTACTGGCTGTGGATAGTTGTAGACCCTGGAAGGCAGCTGTGATGGTGCAGAGTGGGTTCTCGGCCACCCACGTGGGACATCTGGATTCAGTTTCTGGTTTCTGGCATTGGCCCAGCCCAGAGAACCTGCAGATGGGCACCCCTATCCCTCTTCCCCAAATCTCTAGCCCTTAAATAGATAAATCAGTAAAATGTGGGAAAGCTGCTAAATCCTGCTTTGAGGACATGAAGAAAAAGGCACAGAGAAAATAAATCACGCGGAGATTTATTGTTAAGGGTCTGGCAGAGGATAAACACACGTAGGGAAGGCTCCCATTGAACAGTTTGCATGGAGGAACTTACACAGTTCATGACTGCCTAACATGCAGGCCAAAAGACTTTTTTCTTTCTTACTGAGGTTTCTCCCACTCCAAGATTTTTGATGTGATTCCATCTCTTATAAAGAAACAAATTGAATTTGGTTGAGCAAAATAATCACGGGATCGCTGACTGTGTATGGGAATACACAGTTGGTTCTAGCTTGATTAAAAATGGATACCTAGAAACTGATTATATCATTAGAGACATACAGCATTTAAAAAAACATTCAGGGTTCACTATGATGGTTCAGTGGCTAAATCCTCTTCATGTGCCGGGATCCCATATAAGCACCAAATTCATGTCCCGGCTGTTCTACTTTCCATCCAGCTTCCTGCTTGAAGCCTGGAAAGGCAGTTGAGGATGACCCAATGCCTTGGGACCTTGCACCCATATTGGGGACGTGGATGAAGCTCCTGGCTCCTGGCTTCAGATAGGTTCAGCTCTTCGCTATTGCAGCTACTTGGGGAGTGAACCAGATGATAGACAAACTTATCTCTCTGTATTTCCTTTTCTCTGCAAATTTTCGTTTCTAATAAAAAGAAAATAAATATTTTTAAAAAAGGAAATGTTTAAGAAAAAAAAGGAGAACATTTGTAGTTTAAGAGAACTGCAAATAAGTACGTTCCCATTGTAAACACAGGCTCAGATACTGCTCAGGACACTCGTGGGTTGTGGGTGCTTTGCTAAGTGACAAAAAGCATGCTCCCTACCCCCCGCACTCCACCCCACTCCAGACATGTTTCATCTTTATGGCTGTGGGAGGGAACTCTGTACTTGGCAGGCTTTTATGCTACATGTAATGGGTCAAGTCATGGCACTGGTTTTCTTCCTGGTTTCTGTAGGAGCTGCCGGCGGCCTTCAGCACCCACATGGCCTTGTTTTACAGGGTAGTTGAGAGCCACTGAATTTATGTCCTTGTTTGAGCTTCCAAAACCAATTAGTGTCAGAGGCAAGCCTTGATCCTGTGACTCCTGCTTCTCACTTCTGGGCTCCTGTCCCAGTGCGGGCGGGTCCCTTCCTACAGAGACATCTGCTCTGGAGCGTCTGCCTGAAGAATGACGTGACATTTGTCAACACCTATTACCGGCTGAGAACTGGAATCCATTGTGACATGAGGATCTTTCTCTTTGTACCAGCTAGCCTTCATTTCCTCCTTTGCTTTAACGCAAACCTCCTGTAAGGTTTCCAAATGTCTGTCTCAATCTTGCTCTACCTTTAATGCCAACACTTCCCGTGGAAGACTTCATTTTCTGATTTGTTCTTGAGGAAAGGACAACAAATACTTCTCAGATTTATCTTTTTCCCAGTCGTTATTCACAGGTGGGGATGAAAGTGGAGCCCACCCCACTTACCTATTTTGTGACCACCTCCCCAAATCCCGGCTTTGCCAGCCAATATCAGCTTTGTCTCTATACACTTCATGGCAAGAATTGCACCATCATGGTTTTTGCCAGTCTCAGAGATTTTTCTCTCTTTTTTTAATGTTATTTTTTATCTTTCAGGATACATTTCTTTCAGCTCACATGAGACAGAGTTCACATTCTAGCATTCCTACTTGGCATAGGTCTTCCTTCTGGAGAACTCCTCCTAGGTGCAGACTTGGGAAGCACAACCCTATGTGAGCCAGGATTCTGGTGAGCCTGAGCGTCTAGTCTTCTGCTCTCTTCAATTTCTTCATGTGATCTTTCTTTTGCTTCTCTAAACATTTTCAGTGACCCCAGGTAGCCAAAACTCTACTTTTTATATCCCAGTTCCTTTCTGCTCACCTGGATGTAGGTAGATCCCCTAAAGCATCTGTACATTTTCTTCTTTAATTTCCATTCTTAAATTAGTTTAAAATTAACTGTTATAAAATGATTTTATATGTATGTGTATATCATAAAACAAAAAAAAAATTAGTTTTCGTTATGTAGCAAACTTTAGAAGCCAAATCATAGCTTAGTCAGAACTGTGATGAATCTGAGCTAACTCAGGGCTAGGGAATTATCTTACTGATATATACAACATCATTTGCAGGCCATACACAATTAACTTAAAAATTAGCCTGCTACATATTAAATTTTGAATCCTGCCTTGTGGTTGCATTGACAGACTCAGAGTTCATGATTTTGTAGCTCTTATATGACCCATAAATTGGACATTTCCCACATGTGAGTCCACCAATAAATGTTTTTCCTCTTAAAACCAACCCTTGATTCTTCTGTCATTTCTCTCTTTCCTTCAGTCATATATGGACAACAGTCTGCTGCTCTGCTTCCTAAAACTGAAGAAGGAATGTGAGATTTGGTGCCAAAGCATTCAATTGCTTCATTGCTACTTGTTGTTACTTATGTGTGAAAATGATGTAAATTTACCCTGCTGTCCAGAATTTTAAACACAAACAAATAAAAGCTTAGTGTTTTCATTGGGCTTCCCCCCTTGGGAGCAAAACATGCTTTTTCTATGTGGGATGAATTTTGCACTTCATTAAATGCCCCGATCCTTTCATCATGCTGGTCTTTAATGCAATACCATAATCTCAGACCGTGTAGATTAATGATTATAATAAAATCACGGGTATAAATCTGGGGAGGGCTGTGAAATTGAGCAACTACAGATGTTGAAATTTGATTTCTGAAACTCTGGAAAGATTTATCTCCATTGATGTATATCCTACATTTTTCCCCTTAATGAAGCCAAATGGAATCTATTCATTTTTTATCTTCCTAGAGACTTAGGCATACATTCAAGGAGTAGACTGGGTCACCTACAGGAGGAAATTTGCTTTCTGGCTGAGTGTTAACCCAGATCCTTCTGGAACTTTTTTTTTTTTTAAGATTTATCTATTTATTTGAAACACCAGATGACAGACTGAGAGGGAGGGAGACAGAGAGAATGAGAGAGAGAGAGAGAGAGAGAGTTCTTTCATCTGTTATTTCACTCTCCAAATAATTATAGCATGTGGGTCTGGGTCAGACAACGCCAGGAGCCAGGAGCTTCTTTCAGGTCTCCTGGGTGGGAGAGAGGCTCAAGGACTTGGACTATGCTCCACTGCCTTCCCAGGGCATAAAGAGGGAGCTGGATTGGAAATGGAGCAGCCGGAACGAAAACCAGCAGCATATGAGATTCCAGCACCACAGTGAAGCATTACTTGCTAAGCCACTGTGCAGGCCCTGATAAGAGTATCTTTATGCTCATGATATCAAGCACCTAGGAGTTCATGTGGTAACATCCAAATGATTGCCCAACTTCTTCAGTTCTTATCCCCTGATGAGTCTCAGCATGCAGCTGGTGACTGGAGCAGAGCAGGTGAAGGCCAGATGTCGACAGGGACAGAGCCCATGTGTATTAGTCCACACTGCTGTGACAGAGCACCACAGGCTAGGTGGCTTCACAATGACTCACAGGTACAGATGCCCAAGATCAAGGTGGGGCGAGACTCCGTTTGTGGTACAACTGGCTACTCGTTCGTAGGTGGCCGCCTTGTCAAGTCCTCAGCTGCTGGAGGCAGAGAGGCTCTCTGGTCTTTTCTGTATAAGGGAATGCATCTTATCCATAAGGGCTCCCTGAGCTGATCACACCCTAATGCTATCACTGTGCATGCTTGGAGAAACATTCAATCTGCTGCATCATGCAAACAACAACCCCACCGAATCTGATTGTTTCGGACAAACATTTAAAGTATCCATTCACAGGTCACAGAAGTGTTTAGGCATTTGGTATCTCTGGTCAAAATCAGAAACTAGCATCTGAAGAAGTTAGGGGACCAAGGGTTCTTGGCCTCCCTTCCAGAAGAGGCAGAGGAGCCATACACAGGATCACCTACATCTCCTTAAGAGAGCAACCTTCCCAAGGGCTCGTACAGATAGATCGGCTTAAATGAGGCTGATTTGACAAATGTTTATCATGGAGTAAGTACTTACCTAGTGATGTTATCCAGAAACTGGACACACGTGGATACAGCATAAAATTAAATGACAAAAGAAACCCAGAACTACAGAGTTAGATTCTCAATGGAGACTCGCCCTTTTAGGAGGCTTTGGCTCCTACAGTTTCCATCTGCTTGGTTTGGGGCTGGTCAAGGGAAGAGTATTTCTACCCTGTCGATATTCATCCCAGCGGTTGCTGGTACTCATTAAATATTTGGAAATGTCATCTGAGGCAATATTTACAATATTTAAAATGGCTTTATTAAAATCTGAGAGACAAGATAGGGAAACAGCAGCAGAGAACATCACATGTAAAAGGAACGGAATGACCAGAGCGGGTAACCTTAGGCCCTTCCTCTTTGCAGAAGACCCAGCATCCCTTGAGCTCACAGGGTACCTTTTTTTTTTTAAACTTTTTTGTATTTTACCTACAGTGTCTTTGTCTCCGCCCTTCCACACAGCGGAGGGATTCATTGCATATGGGTTTCTCAGAATCCAGCCCAAGACACAGAGATGACACTGTCTTTCTCACATCCTTGGGACCTGCTTTCTATCTACGCACACCCTCTTCCCTTGGCATTGAAGCCAGCTGTGCCTGCTGCGCAGGGAAACGGGCTCCTGAGACCCAGAAAATCAGGGTTCTCCTTCAATGGCTTCATTCAGTGACTCAAAAGTCCATATTATCAATCCATTTCCCATGCAATGCCTCACCTGTGTGCTTTGCTTCTCAAAATATCTTCATCCTCTTTTATTTTTAAATTACCTTTCTATTTTCATTTGATGAGGGTTGTTGTTTCACCTGGAACTTCTACTATTTGTGTAACATCTTCCATGTGTTTCATTTTTTTCCATTATTTTTGTCTCTGGTACTTATTCTAAACATTATTTCTTCCTCTTTTTGTAATATTTATTTGTTTTTATTGCAAATTCATATATACAGAGAGGAGGAGAGGCAGAGAGAAAGATCTTTCATTCAGTGATTCATTCCCAAGTGATCACACTAGCCAGAGCTGAGCCGATCTGAAGCCAAGAGCCAGGAGCTTCTTCTGGGTCTCCCATGCTGGTGCAGGGTCCCAAGGCTTTGGGTCATCCTCGACTGGCCTCACAGACCACAAACAGGGAGCTGGATGGGAAGCGGGGCAGCTGGGATTAGAACCGGTTCCCATATGGGATCCCGGCACATTCAAGGCGAAGACTTTAGTGGCTAGGCTAGCGCACAGGGCCCCCTCCCACCGGTTTTTTTAAAGCATTAATTTTCTTTTACCATTTTCCCATATTCTTAATATTAAAATTGTATTTATTAATCATTTTAAATTAAATTTAAAAAAATACTTACTTGAGGCCCTTGGGGTGGTAACCTAGCATTTTCCCAGGTGCATTAGCAGGGAACTGGATCAGAAGTGATGCGGTCTGGGCACAAAATAGCTCCCAGATAGGACACTGATGCCGCAGGAGGCAGCTTTGCCCACTCTGCCACAGTGCCAGCCCTTAAAATTAGTTTTTGTACACGAATCGCATATCCGTGAAGAACTGAAATATTTTTCCAATTATTATCTTATTGTATTTCAGTGGAATCTCCAGTGACAGGTGCAGGCCTTTGGTTTCATCTCTCACATGATTTAATCCTGGTTGTTATCTCTGGTTGCCTTAATCCACTGTAGCTGTTCATTTCTGGCTTACTCATTTATTATGAATGTCGGAGTCTCTTAGAGCAAAGCAGAAGCTGAAGATGGACAGGTCAGACATTGGGGTCTAGGAGAGAAGCAGCTGGCCATCCAGGTCTTCTTGGAACACATGCTGGCAGCCTGGTTAGCCACAGGGGCATTAGAGAACATCAGCTTAAATGGAACATCACTGTGTCCATCAAGATGCCGCTGAACAGACATGTCTGATCTTTCTCCAACAAGAAGAAAGATGCAAGTCTCCTCCTGGGACTATGGGACAACACGGGTTTCTAGAGGGAGTCATGGAATCAACATGGGTTGCCTCAGGCCCAAAGAAGAGATCAGCCTTTGCCATGTCATGCATCCCTTGGCTCTCACAAGGAATTAAAGTATCAGCCCCATGCGTGTGACGGAGTACTGTGCTCATCAAGGGCTGAGAAGGTCCTGGAACACAGCCGTGCAAACACACTCTCTAGGCTCCACAGCAGCCTCGATTGCTGATCTTTACTCACAGAGTGGTGAAGGTACCAAGCTGTTGGAGAAGGCATGCACTCAGACACCTCAGACTTTGTTTCCTTTCAAGGTATTGCATGTTCTTCAGCATAAGGGCCAAGGAATCTTCCCTCGGAGGAGATTAGTTTGTGTATCAGAAACGAATCTGACCAGACTATGGCCAGTGGGCTTTGACTCAGAATATGGCAGCCAACCAAGGGATGATGGCCAATGTCATTCATATGGCCAACTTTCCATTCTTTCCTAAATCTTATCACTCAGCCCACTTAGTGCCATCCATCCATCCATCCATCCATCCACCCATCCACCCATCCACCCATCCATCCATCCATCCACCCATCCACCCATCCATCCATCCATCCATCCATCCACCCACCCATCCACCCATCCATCCATCCATCCATCCACCCATCCACCCATCCACCACTCCAGGGTTAATTCCTGAAACCATAGGATTAAATGTGTCATTTTGGATATAGTTGTGTCAGGGAGCTTGTTTCCACAATCAAATGTCATACAGGATACACAATTATGCTGCTGGGAAAATATAAAAATCCCACAATCCTTTATATTGCTATAACTTTCCCCCTTAAAACTTGAACAGAAATGTTGAATAACATGGCTTTAGTTTATTAATAAGCAAAAATATTGACACATAATAGAAAATAATAACATTCAGATAATACAGGGTATTAGAGAAATTTGGTTATTTAGGATTTTTCTCTAAGTGTGTTCACATTCTAATAGAAAATGGTCAGTACCACTTTCATAAGCTTGTTTAGACAACATGTTCCATATTTTAGAATGTTTTCAGTTCCAAGGAGGGTAAGTATTAGAATTCTTGGGGCAAATACAAGATATAAGTATACTGCTTTGATTTTTGAGTTTCTATACTTATAGAAAAGCAGATATTTTACTTTTACAGGGAGTTTCTTATCATCAGTTATTATTACTCTTCCTCTCTAAGTCTGTCCCATGTCCCTCAATCCCATTCTGTTTCCTTTTAGTAAATCTTAATGCCACTTCATGATGTTCCATGAATTCGTAACATCAGAATCCACATGAGTATATACCCCCTTTTCAATAAGGCAACCATTCCACTCACTGATACCACGATCAACAGGGCTGTCCAGAAAACAATGTGACCTGTTGACTGCCATAGGCAGAATGAGTGGCAAAATGGTGTAAAACAGAACAAAAAATAGCTAGGAAGAATTCTGAGGGTTTCTATGCAACGAGTGGAAAGCAATGTAGCTTCTTGAGGTAGAGATTATAAGTTCTGAATTCAAATCCAGCCCTTTGCTGATTTTATCATCTCAGAAAAACTTTGTACTTTTCTGAATTTCATCATCCTTTTGAAAAGCGAGGCTTAAGAGAGACGGATGAGCTTGCATTAATCT